GGGTCAGCAACCCCAAATTCCCACTGGAGTAACCAGACATCGCCCCAGACCCACGAAATCCCCCTCTTGGAAATTCCTGGCCATGTTGGAGCCGATGTCCACCCAAGACCCTCCAAACATCCCCCAAATCCCCCAAAACTTCCCCCAAACCTCCCCCAAACCTCCCCCAGACCCCCCTGCCGGACCTTCCCAGCCTGGAGTAACCAGACATCGCCCCAGACCCACGAAATCCCCCTCTTGGAAATTCCTGGCCATGTTGGAGCCGATGTCCACCCAAGACCCTCCAAACATCCCCCAAATCCCCCAAAACTTCCCCCAAACCTCCCCCAAACCTCCCCCAGACACCCCTGCCGGACCTTCCCAGCCGTGTTGGAGCTGATGTCCACCCAGGATCCCCCAAACCGACCCAGGAGCCCCAAAACCTCCCCCAAACCCCCCCAGACCCCCTGCCGGACCTTGCCGGCCGTGTTGGAGCCGATGTCCACCCAGGTCTCGGCGGCGTTGAGCCAGAAGAGGCCGAGGCTGAGGCGGGGCCGGTGGGCGAGCAGCAGCGGCACGGAGCCGTACAGAGCCATGGGCGTGAACACCTCGTACTGGAACACGTCCAGGTTGTACAGGCGGTACGGGTCACCCCCCCTGGGGACATGGGGACACTCAGGGACAGTGCCAGGGGGACAGGGATGGCTCCCCAGGGGTGTACAGGCAGCACAGGCACCCCCCATGGGGACACTCAGGGACAGTGTCAGGGGGTCAGGGACAGCCCCCCAGGGGTGTACAGGTGGTACAGTCAACCCCCGTGGGGACATGGGGACACTCAGGGATACTGACAGGGGACAGGGACAGCCCTCCAAGGGTGTACAACTGGTACGGGTCACCCCCCTGGGGACATGGGGACAGTCAGGGACACTGCCAGGGGACAGGACATCACCCCAGGGGTGTACAACTGGTATGGCTCACCCTCCCTGGGGACATCAGGGACACAGGGACAGGCTCAAGGACACCCCCATGGGATCAGGGACACCCCCAGAACGTCACTGTCACCCCATGAAGCCACCCCCACACAGCATCGCTGTCACTGTCACTGCTGTCACTGTCACCCTCATCCCACAGCGTTCCTGTCCTCCCACGGTGACACCGCCCCCTCAGTGCCACCATCACCCCTCATCCTGCTCCTGTACCCCCACATCCCTGCGTCCCTGCATGTGTCAGTGTCACCCCAAGGTCCCCGTGGTGTCCCCAGAGTGTCCCCGTGGTGTCCCCAGTGTCCCCAGTGTCCCCAGAGTGTCCCCAGAGTGTCCCCAGTGTCCCCGTGGCTCACTCGGTGGGCCGCAGCCGCAGGCTGTCGGCGTGCTCGGGGATGCCGTACACGTGCTCAAATCCAGGCAGGGAGAAATCCAACCCCACCGAGGTGGGTCCTGTGGGGAGCAAAGTGGGGGGGGGTCACAGGGGTCCCCCCGTGTCCCCCCCCAGTGTCCCCAAGTGTCCCCAGCTGTCCCCACCGTAGGGTTTGCTGTCCGTGTGTGTCTTGAATGTCTCCTCCCACGTCCCCGGCTCCTCCTCGGGCTCTGCCGGGGGCTCCGCGGGCTGGGGGGGACACAAATCCACTCAGGAATGGGGGGACCCCTCCCCAAAAAAAGGTGGGGGGGTTTAATTTGGGGTGTCCCATCCCAGTGTCCCCCCCTGTCCTCGTCACCTTCTCGCTCTGGGTGCTGCCAGCGCCGTCCTCGGGCCCCTCCTGCGCCGCCCCCTCCTCGCCCGGGGGGTCCTTGGGGGGGTCCCTGTGGGAATTTGGGGTCCTGGGGTGCCCCAAAAGGGGGGGGGGGGGGGGGGGGGCCACAGGGAAAAGGAGCACCCCCAGGCCCCCGAATTT